TCCCTTCGGGTCGAGTATGGAAATACCAGCTTAATCGTAAGCCTTCCCAGAAACAGAAAATGGCTTTTATACAATTTGCCCAATTGCGGGCAATCCTATCAATTAGTAGAATGAATAGGTTTGTATCCAATTAGGCTAATTGACCCTTTGATATTTCATATAATAAATTCATAATCTCATATGGCTTTAGAAAATAAGAACAAATATAACTAATTATGTTCCCTATAGAAACTCAATATTAATGAAAATGAAAAGAGCTTTCAGAACTATAACTATAACTATGGCTCCAAGGTACGTGAAAAACATTACTTTACATGAAGAGCTTTACATGCCAACAGTTAACGACCAAATACGGACACACTACAAATGATTTAACGATGGATTACATAGAAATACTAACTCACTTACGATCACACCCATAGAAGGTTCAAAGAAGCTGGATGAGGGAACTCCTCGCATAGCTGTAAATACTAAAGTCACGATAGGAAGGGATGCCGCTGGCCACTCTTCTCCCTTACGCCTATCAATGCCTTACTTTTACTGATATTCCCAACTTGTTTCAGCTTATTGGTTGTCAGTATTTCGAACAGGTGTGATTAAAGAACTTAAGATTTAAAAAAAAAAAGTTAATGTTTAAATTTACCAGTCATTCCGACTTTCTGAGATAGCTCAGCCTGCCCGAAAGCTATAAGTCGATATTTACTGCATCCACAGATAGGCAGAAATAAATGAGATAAACTGAATGCAGATAAAACTGAGGCTATTCCCATCGGGTCCAGACATCTCATTAGTTCCCTTCCTTACTTTCCTCTACTTTACCTCAATAACCGTCCCATCCATTTTTTCCTAACATTCAAAAACCTAGGAGTAACCTTTGACCTCAACCTCTCCTGGGATAACCATATCTCCCAGATTATCCGAAAATCCATAACGGTCTTTAAACAACTCTTAAGATTCCATGATTGTATTCCACTAAAAAGCAGACAGTTCTTTGTAACCTCCCTTATAGTCCACTTCAACTAAGGCTGCTTGGTGTATGGAAGAAGGGCTCTCTGTCAGGCTAGAAATAGAACTTTTTGGCGAAATCAACTTTTAAATATATATGTTTTTTTTAAAAATAAAATCATTGTAAAATCTTTACTTGAATACTTTCAAGGGAAAAAAAAAAATCTGAAATAACAGAAAAAAACATTTAAAATAAACATTCCAGTGATACTGAAACTGATTAAAACTAAAGTTAAAATTTTATTTCATGCACTGATAAATAGGTAATATGGTACTTGCGTGTAAAAAACATCACTTAAATTGAAGCTCTAGTAGAATTAAAATAATAAAAAGTATATAAGTTTATTTAACTTGACTATTCAATTCAACACAGCATTATCTAAAAGTCAGATATAGGGAGTCTTATTTCCTAATAGCCAAACTCTAAGGGATAATTCTAGACAAAATTTCCAACAAAAACGTTTATTTGATTCATAGGCCAATTCCGAACGGAAAATAATTTTAATGAACCAATTTTGTTTTTTCTTAAGATTGTCACTTTTTCATTAAATAAGAAAGAATTGCTCAAAAACTGTTCAAGATTATTAAATTATGAGTACACTATTGTAAAGTAGACAAAATTATTTTGAGAAAACAGAGATTAAATTTACTAAGGTCAATGATAAAAGGGTCTTTCAGGAGGTCAAAAACAGTTGCTGTACTATTTCACGAGCACAGCGGACGAATTTGAACTGCCAAAAGTCCCTATTATCATTGACATTGAACAATTTAATCGCTGTTTTCTCAAAACAATTTTTTCTTTTTTACGAGGGTGTACTTTGAATTTAATCATCTTAAACAGTTTTTGAACAATTTCTTCTTATTCAATAAAAAACATTTTCCATTCGGAAATGACATATGCATAAAAAGAATTTTTTTTTAAATTTTGTCTAGAATCACCTCTCAGAGTTTAGCCATTAAGAGCCAAGAAACTCCGTAACATAATAGTGATTCAGAAAATAAATAAAAATCTGCTGGAAAAAATACCGCTTTTAATATATCCAGATCTAAAATATTATATACAATATTTTTTAACTTCAATTGACCACAAAAAAACGGAGAAAACATGATCTACTGGTTGTCGCTTTATTTAATTTACAAATACAAATAATTAAAAGTATTTTATAAAATAATTTCAATATGAAAATCTAAAAAAAATATTAGTTATAATCTTCTATGATAAAGGGTTTCATTTACTACCGTATTAATTGAAATCATCGATTTAAATAAATTAATTACATTAAAACATGATGAAAACATATAAATTGAAGGAAATTAATTCGGCCCTAAAAAAAGAAAACTATCCAATTTTAATTTTGCTAACAGCAATTGCCCGATACCAATTATCCGAAAAGCGGTGGGTACTGCTTTTAATGAATTACAGGAAGCAATAAAAGGAATAAGGGGTTGACATTGTAATAAATGTTTTATCGGAGAGGATATGTCGGGCCGCTGTGCAATGCAGGCTCGCATCTCATGAATATTAAACGACGCAAAGCCGACGTTTTTTAAACGCTAGGTTGACAAAACGTCGGGGGAACATGGGCATTAACGTACATGGGCACGTTGGGTCACTCATTCACCCAATGACAGCTTTTGGGCTTCTATAATCAGCGGGTCGCGAACCAGGATTCATTCAAAATCTGCGAATTTAATCAAACACAGATTTAATGGAAAATAAATTTATGTAAAAATAATATAATTGTTAATAACACAATACAATTCATAAAAGAATTAATTATTAAACAAAATATTATTTATTATTAACTAAAACATTGGAAGTAAATATAAAGCAATATATTGGGCAGGGTTTGAGAAAAACAATTTATTAAAAAAGTTATATTTCAAATATATACCTATACATACATGCATATATATATATATATATATATATATATATATATAATTTTTTTTTTTTTTTTGTCAAGATTCTGAAGTTCTCATGAATTCCTTTTGCTTTAATTATATCTAATTTGTTTCTTAGATGAATTATAAATTTTTTATTCCTCGTTTAGTTTATAATGCGATTTATTAAATTTTATAAATGGATGTTTATAAAGCAAATATGTGTAATGTTTCATCGTGTTAAGCAGCCATATACGTCACTTCACGTTGGACTAAAGCCTCACCTCCAGTTCCAATAAAACTTCCTCCTATTATTTCATGTTTTTAGCTAAATATGAAGTTTTTTTATTATTTGAAAAGTTTTTCACATCTTATAGAAAAAACAAGGATTTTTTCATTTCATATTATATTTTCGCATATTGTATATTCTCTTATATTCTTACATATTTATTTTAACTGTTTATATTTTCAAATATTACAATCACCTAACTTTAAGAGTAACGTGCAATACAATCAGAGAAAATTAAAATCCTAGTTAAAGTTTATATTTTTTTACACTTATTTGCCTTTAGGTCTGTTTAATAAATAATCTTTGATCACTATTTATTCATAAACGTTTCGGAGAATCTCTGCCCCCGTCTTCAGCAAATTATATGTCCCCAAAATCGGGTAAGTCGCAGTTATTAATAAGTTTGGTCAATAGCTTTAAAAGAACGTAAAATATTAAAGTGCTTTTAGGATTGTGGGAGGATGGTTAAAATATTAAACTTGTTATGTTTTAATATTTATAAAATAAAGAATTTAATATTTCAACCACCCACAACCCTAAATCCACTTTAATCTTTTTAGTCGAGTACAGACATTGACAAAAATTATTATTAATAACTGTTACTTTCCTAATTCTGGAAATATATCTTTGCTTAAAAGGGGGAGTAAAGATAAATAGTGATCAACGACTAGTAGAAAAAAGGTCAAAATATAATACATTGTTGTCGCATTTGTAACATTAGATATTTAACATTAGAAAATACTTACACATTTAAAAATATTATTTTATAATTTTTATGTAAAAGAAAAACAATATCCCAAATTTCCTGGTTATCATAATTAATTTGAGAAGTTTTCAACTGTATTAGGTTGATCTGTATTCTCTATTGAATACAATATAAAATCAACCATACAGTTTTAACAAATACCATTTATATAATTCTGAAAGAGATACAGGAAGAAGTAAAATATAATTAATAATTACATAAAAACACTAATCATGCAAATTGTAATTCTTCAATGTGCATGCGTTCCGTACCTTTTTATCATTATTGTTTCGTTATTTAATGATTCAAGGAAATGTTTTGTATTTTATATTTCCCTGGGAATGGAAATAATTAACAATGACTAATTAAAACAACAATTAATAAAAGAATATCATTAGCAAACATATATATATATACTTACTGAATGGAATAAATTTATAATGGTAATTTATATCAAAATAAAATTGAAAAAAATCAGGTCACATATGAAATATTTGATTTTTCTATCAAGAAGTATTGCAGATTACATCTAACACATAAATTTGTAGATTATACAATGTTTACTGTGGCTTTTATAAAACAGACGAAAAAAAAATGTATATATCATTGTAGTGTAGGGAATACTCAAATAATATTGTAATTTACTTGTAACATAGAAAACTCCTTAAAAAACTATTATCCAGCTAATCATATGGCCCATTTATTAAAGTCAATAAAAAAAAAAAAAGAGAAAGGAGTACATAATGTACTCTTTTCAAAGAAGAAAAATTCATTAAAATACTTCTTGATTTTCTTTTATAAAATATTATTTAATGACTTTAATATATAAACCGACGATATGCAGTATATTTGTTCCACTATACAATATACCTTCAAAGAAAATACGTAAATCAATTACATTTTCTTTGAAGGTAAATACTATATTATAAGGTATATTATATCAATAGTAGAATAGTATTCAAAAATATTACAACGATTTTTTGTAATACAATGGCTATAAGTTAAGATGTACTAAGTGGCTATTCTCAATATAGTAAGGTAAAATCAATGATCTAAATGATAATATAATATTACGTATTAAATGTTAAAAAATATGTATTCCTGACCTTTCTTTCCCTGTATCCCTTCAGATCCTCTCTCACCAGGATCCCCTCTCTCTCCCTTTTCTCCTCGTGGTCCTGGGGCACCTCGCTCTCCAGGAGGCCCAGGCAACCCCTGCAAACCAGAGAGGTTAATGGTCAGACAAAAAAGTAAATATATATATATATATGTGTGTGTGTTTGTGTTTGTGTAATTTTATCTAATCCAGTATATAGAGAAAAGGTTTATATATATATATATATATATATATATATATATAAACACACCTACTCCTGCCATCAACAGATCAACAGAAAGGTTTTTTTTTTTTCAATAACTGTATTAGAAAATAAAATCTATATCTAAAGAGAGTAAATAAAAAAAGAATTTACTCGAAATGCCCCCCTTTGCCTTGATAGAGGCATTTAATCTCCGTGGCCAGTCATCAATAGCAGTACGCAACACGTCTTGAGGATATCGCTCAATTACTTGGACCAGAGATTGTTTGATGCTTTCTAAGTTAGGGTGTGCTCTGGAGCATGCCATCCTCTCCAGTTCAGACCAAAGCCGATAATCTAGTGGATTGAGATCAGGGCTTCCTGATTGCCAATCCGTGACATAGAAGAACTCTGGAATGTTCTTTTGCAGCTTCTGCTGAGTTGACTTGACCTTGTGAGCTGGAGCGGAATCCTGTTGGAAAACCCAATGACTTCCAGCAAACACAGAATCATTTAGAGACTTGACATCAGGTTCCAAAATATCGTCCTCATAGTTTTTAGCGGCTGTTTTAACTCCTTTTTCACAAAAATAGAGCTTTGTGGTGCCATCAAAGCAAACTCCCCACAAACCATCGCTGGGGAAGGGTGATGTCCTCCTTCCAATCTTTCAATGACTACCTGTTTCACAACTGAAGCGTCATTTATAGAAAAACCATCCTTTTTTTTTCACTAGATGGCTGGAAGGACGTCACAATAAGGCCCTCGGGGCTTAGTAGAGGGCTCCATGTGGTTCGCAGGCCAAAAGGTTTGGAGACCCAGTTAGAGTTCTAAAACAAACATATCTTACGCCAGAAATAGAAAGGGGGTAACACAATGAAAATAAATCATGGATTGATAAAATCAACGTTGCTACAGAGCTGTACGAAGGAAGCTGGGAAACCATATCTGTTTGATAAGTTAAGAAGAGAAGATTTAGTTTGGTTCAAAGCTCTTACTCAACTCCATTAAACTCACCATCCTTCAAACCTGCTTATGGGCTAAACAAAAATGTAATCGAAAACTTTCCTCCGATCAAGTCATGATATCACATGTGGCTGATCTTGCCGGATATGGACATCGAACCTCGGTGTTCGCTAAGCACATTATTATTGTTGTCATTTAAGGTTCAAATAGTCCTTTGTGCTATGTCAAAAAGATACTGATGAATCCATTCATAACCGTCTCGATCCGTTTAAGCTTATCCGAGATTTCTCCACTTATCTTGCTAATAAATATATTTATTAATGTACATTTAATTTGAAACATACGTAAACTGTTTACTTAGAATAAAATTTCAATAAGAGAATTAGAATCACTGTGTATTGCCCTTGAATAATAACCATCCTGGTTTGAGGAGATCTTGATGAACTGTGGTTGAGGAGAGGCAAGCATTGCTGAGGGAATATCATTTGGGTTAATTAGTCCGGCTTATCCCAGGAGTCTCTCGGGTCTGTCTCCGCCCGGGATGTCACGTCACGAATTATCAGCAGTTATCATACCAATGGCCTTTTTACACAATTTCACAAATAGATGTATATGAAATTAGATACCTAATGCCATTGTATAAATATTTCTTCTTAGAGAACCGCGAAAACTCATTTTTACTTTGAAACAATAGGAATAGAACCAAAATTCAACATTCTGAAATTTTTTTTTTTTTTTTCTTATGCCAGTCGTTGGTCATTTGGCCATCCGACATCTTGCTGCCCAGTATAATTAAGACTTTCTTATATGTATATTCGGAAATATTTTGTCTCTTATGTCACTCAAGGCAGGACATGCGTCTAGATGGTCTGCATCCATTGTTCCTAGATGACACAATTTACATGTAGGATCCTCAGCGACGCCTATCTAACATTCTGAAAGTTGAAGTAGTAGCACGAAAGAAATTGGTGTAGAGCATAAATTAATTGGATGGGATTTACCTTCCAAATAAAATTTCCTATTAATATAGTTCTTATATAGTATTTTTTTAGAGTCTGCTATATGCAGTATAGGCCGCTTTTACATCCCTCAGCAGCGAAGGATTTTAAGAAACGAAGTGTCAAGAGAAACCGAATTTCATAAAGAAATAGCGAATCCCGAATCGATAGATATAATTGACCTACATTGAAAATGTTAATGCGGCCATTTATACTAATTTTTATCAGCTTATAACAAATTTGGTAAATGTCAGTGTTCATTGACCTTGGTTTTAAACAATAAAACATAAGCAAATTATTAAGTTTAGGTAAACATTCGAGGTATAATTTAAGGTTGTTAAAGAATACGTTTTTCGTTTTGATGCACTGTTCTAGATTTATTGGTGAAAAAACATCGAAAAAACCTGCTTGCATTTTATTTTAATGTTTTATAATTTATAAATATAATTTTTTGCCAGTGTCGTGGAATGATATTTATAGATGATTCCACATAAATGTAATTTTTATTGTTGATTTTCATTATCTTTGGGGACTAAATGGCCGGGAATAAAATTTACTTTTCTTCCTTTTATTCAACATGAGCATTTTTCGTTCCAAGGTATGGACATTATTCTTTTCATTTTACTTAGAATTTACTTTACTTATTCAAGTGATTAAAAAAAATCTAGAGGATTTTATATGGTTCTTGTTTTCCAAATATTAATAAAATTATATTAAAAAGAAAATTAATCACTTTTAGGACAGCTCTGATAATCAAGCGTTTCTTTTGAGTATATTTATATCTGTTTATAAATATACGATGTTATTAAAGTTTCATCACCATATATTCTCTTTGGTGCCTTTTTTTTATTATTTATTGATTTGTTCACTCCTTGTTCTTCTGTCCATTTTAAAAATACGAGATTCCAGCACACAAATCTGTTTATTTCTTCTAACAGAACTGGTAATTTAAAAAATACTTTATTATGCCTAGTCTCTTGTTTTGGAATTCCATACGCAAAACCTCATTTTTACTTAATTTAACAACCAATTTTTTTTCTATCTCCTCAGCGCATTCCTAGCATTCATTGACAATTATTTACTATAATATAATATAAGTCAATAATATAAATTAATATTTATGCTTACCGCGGGTCCAGGCGGGCCATTCTTTCCATCGAGACCAGGTATGCCTGGAGGTCCCGGGATCATGTCTGGCATGGCGTGAGACCTCAACAGCTCTGTCATGTTGCAAGAGCAGACCGCAGGGGGTCCTCTGTTCAGAGTGTAAAGATCCCCGGGATCCTGAGGATGCAAAATCATAATGTATTAATGGATTATGGATACTTATATTAGAGAAGATACAATATCATTATAATTGAAAAATATACTAATACTTTGAAAGAATATTTCACCTCAGAAATTATTGGGGCACCCTAAAACTCATGAATCGGATAGAATTCATCCAAGTTGTTAAACTTTCGTTTAAATTTATATGAGTTCCGCTGAGATATGGTAGAGATTTTACTATTTCTTAAACAGCACATTAAGGTGTAAATTAATAATTTTATTTTTTCCCTCAAATGTTGAACCGCTCATCTTATCCATTGAGAAAGTCATATGATTGATGTCATAGCTGATTGATGTCATATGATAAGGACATAGCTAATTTCACATTTAAATAAGAATCCAAGATAGTTTATGAATCATGGAATAGTTGAAGATGACATAGAGAAATTTTAAAACATTCAGATAAGGACATTTTATTAGAAGTAAATAAATATAAGAAGTAATACATTATACAGATACTAACCAGAACTCCAGAAGAAAGTATTCTAAGACTTGAGAGAAATATCTCCCGCATCATAACCGAAGCGATCTGAGATCAGAGTACTACTTCATAGAGAAGACCAATAAAGAACTACTTACAGAAACTGGCAAATCAATATCCCATGAGATGAATGCAAGGAGGTTAAGATGTGCGGGGCATGTAGTTAGTAGCAATCTTTCTGGTAGACTTAACGTAACAATGAATGCTTCATTAGAAGATCAAAAAGCAGATGGTAGGTAGAATCAACAAAGATCCAATGGAATTCATGCAAATAATTTGAAAGAAATAGTTCATGACAGCCAGAGATGGAACAGGCTTGTTATGGCAGGAAAAGATCTACAAGGTCTGTATGCAATGCCAGCAGAAAAAAATTCTTTCTATGAAATTTTGAAAAGTTTCCTTTGTTTCTTGGTTTAAAAGTTCTCTTAAATCAAAACTGAACAAAAATATCATTTCTACCAACTATTCATAATCCTATAAATATGTGCCCTCAAAATATTTGATGATATAACTTGTACCATGCAATCCTCTTCTATGTACTCTTGAGTTCTATGGTAGATATAAGTTCATCGGGAGTGCAATAACTTACTGAATTGATCGGCTTAGTGATATAAAGCTTGGAATAAAATTATGATTCGATTCCACGACTACCAAAATTCTTGAAAAACCCATGATACTCAAGCAAATGGTGTAAGCTTCCAAAACATGGCTTGTTTTATTTCTGTGATCTGTCGTAGGTTTCAAAATCGAAAAGAATTCAAAATAAACATATAATCAGAATCATGTTAGAGATAAAAGGAACCACTAAACAAGGTCATGGTCTTGCACTTTGTGTACTTTATTTATTCCGAAGCACTTATTTGAGCAGGATTCGTCTTTAAACGCCATAGCAGTCCTCAAGTGACCTGTTAATATATTGGAAATGGAATAAGTAAACGAAATAAACCGTCTGAATAAAGACTTAATGAACATAAGTCTAGGCCTCAGAGAAGAAGTGAACAAAAATAACAACAAAAAAACAAAACAAACAAACATAGCAATTATAAATAAAACGTAAAGTTTCTGTCCTCATATTCATTATTTAGATGCGGTGCCGACAAGATACGGAAGCTATTTGCCACAGCCTTGCATTAATATCCAGTGTAACATGTTTATTCAGAAGAAATATTATTTCTATCGAACTAAAATCAGCAGTAAGGCTTATAAGTTAACTTGTACTCTTACAAATAAACCTCTTGTATTCTGCCCCACCATGAATACATTGGTTTTATTGGCAATGACACGTCATTAACATCATATGACACTGTTTCCAAGTTAACAATTAACAATTACTTCGTTTACATAATTTGTTAGTTTCAATACTGTTTATTACCCCCCTCCCCCTTCCCAATAGCCTACTAAAGCTCTCTCTGTTTGAATATTATTACCATTTGAGATAGTGGATATATTTAGAAAGGAAATATATTAATTGATCTGTCAGTCCTGGTTATGGCGGTACCTTTCTTCCTGTGGATTGGTTAATTCCATCACCAAGGGCCCATTAGTAGGTTTTGAGGCATTCAGAGAGCAAATCGAGGCTCATGTTCTACCATGGTTATATTGAACGAAGCTTGAAGTGCCATCACTATTTGAAAACCCTTCATTCCTCTACGCACGAAGACAGGAAAATTACGCGCCATTCATCCGGAGGAATGGGAATATTCACGGTTGAATTAATTTGGAATTAAACGAAAGCAACGTCAAAGTGTTATCATGTCATATAATTACTATATTTTGAATTGAATAATTGTAGACTTTCATACATAAATGTAGAACGTTATGTGGTTTTTACTTTATCAAATTTTCAAAATTAAAAACTTTAAAAATATAAAATCGAATGTTAGAAGTCTTATTTTCCTCGTGTGTATGTCGAACATGTTTTTCTGTCTGTAATGATGAAAACATAGTTTTTTTTTCTTACGCCCCTTACTTTTTCAGCTTCGGCTTTGAGTCTTCTAACAGCTTTAAGGCTGCAACAAGGCGACAACTGTGACCGTTTGTTTCTCTTCATGCGTTTAGTTCTGCTGAAGATATTCAGGGAGCACGTTGTTTACAATAACCGGATGCGATCACAATCACTCCCTTTTCATCAGGCGCTATCCTGAAGAACGTTGCCAACTATATTTGCAGAAATCTCCACCCTGTTTTTTATGGGATAGCATCAGCCTAGATTAGCCATTTGTCCAACCACCAACCCGGAGGACTAAAAGAGTAAGACAATGGGGTCGCTCACCTCGCTTTGAATATCTGGGTTGAGACGTTACCGTCCTCATTACCGAATCGAACCCGCATCGTAGTGGTCTAAATAATGGAGTGGGGGCCTGCACTTATTTTATTTCTATTTATTATTAATTATTTTATGTTTTATCTTTTTATTTTCATTATTATTATTATTATACTTTCATTATTTTCAAGAATGGTATTTACATTCAGGGATGACCATCTCTTCCTCCCATCTCTCCACCCAAGGTTATTACACGAACCCTCATCCTCTTCCAAGAAATTTTATTGTCCTCCTCTTCAAAAAAACAGTGTAAGCGAATGCAGAATTAGAATAATTTTAGATCATATAAATTACATTTGATGGGATCTGTTCTATATTTTCTCCTTGTTTTTGGCTTGAAAATATCTCCAAATATCTCCCTTTTTTTTTTAAATTGGATATTGGAACAACTAGAATAGTTTCAAAAATGGTTACAATGGTATACATTTTTCGAGTCTGAATTTAACCTGAAATTTTATGAATCGTGCCGAATAATAGCACTCATATGCCCTCAAATCTTGAATGAAAAGTTATGAAATATATATCCTCTCCTTCAAAAATTCTAAACACAATAATTTGCCCCCTCACCAATTTTGGTTTGTTTACCTGCACTCCTTAAGCCTCTTCTGGGCACTCTTATATTCATACCCCCTTAATGTATCTTATGTCCAAATAATGAACGTTATTTATATTCCAGATATGTTAGCTAAAGATCGAAAAAGGATATGTTTCGAACTATACAGTAAGCTGTTATTAGGTTAAACAATGTGAAGGAAATACGTCTTGTCTGTAACTAGCTATCCTTTCTCCGTATAACATGTACAATATGATTTCAAAACGTGAATAAAACGAAAATCTAGGGAGTAAACAATGTTTTTACTTTTTTATTAAAAAATGACTACTCCAATTATAAGACCAACATAATGGCTATTCAACATATACGAGTATGTGGCAACAATGACTTTCCAATTTAGTCTACCAATTAAATTGTTTGTTGGTCTACCCGATTACGTACAAACTAAAAAGCCTGCCAAATCTCAACTGACATCTTAATTAGAAAAGGTATCTCAGGAAATGCGCACACTACAGATTACTGAGTTGGTGATACGACCATTAGAATATGTATATATACAGTGGCTCACAGTGAAATTGATAAACCCCGTTGAAAAATAAAAAAAAGACTTAAATGAATAAAACTAGAAACTCTTCAATAGGTTTATTTAAATTCTTAATTTAAATATCTTCAAACTCAATAAAGTAAAGTATTCAACTATGATTATTTAAAAAATAATCGGATATTTTTAACTCGCAGTCAAAATGATACACCTCACTCATTAACTTTTAAGTACTATTAATTTAGTTCAATACCTTCTAGACAAGCCTTCATTTTATACCACTCCCTTCAGTCTGTTTGTAATGGAGTTGACTAATTTTTTGGTGAATTCTGAGCATAGCGTGCTCCATTTTTCCTCTAATTTTGTCCACAGGTGTCCCATCACATCAAGATCTGATGACTAAGGTGGCGTTTTTATAACTTTGGGGCAGTTATAGAGTAGCCTTTTCTTAGCTAATATGGCAGAGTTTTTTTGGAGGATCATTATTCTGATAAAAACTAAATTTATTTTTTACCTCTAGGTTTTTCGCAATTTTTTTCAAAATGTCTTTTTTTTTTGGGGGGGGGGGTCTTCCCCTTCCTCGCTGTTAAGGCTATACGGGGTTTTCCCTGGCCAGGGGATGTGGGCGGGGATTTAAAAGACACTCTTTTCAAAATGTTTATAAAAACATGTTTGTCTACTATCCCATGTGGATATTTCACTATAAAGTGTAGATTTCCTACACCACAAGCCACCATACCAAGTAACATAACATAAGAATAAAAAAAAGAACATAAGAAAAGAAGATATTACTAGGATGTTTATTGATTACACTAAATTAATCTTTTGAATGTATCCTTAATTGAACTATTTATTTATTTAATAATTTCTATCAATATTCAGAAGTATCATTTTGACTGTGAGCAACTGTATATATAAAGTTGCTAGAGGCACTCTATAACCAAATATATATATATATATATATATATATATATATATATATATATATATATATATATATATTTATTTATTTGTATATGTATTTTTGGTTTTAGAGTGCCTCAAAAATAAACTCTCCCCAGGCCCCAAATGGTCTAGGTAAGGCCAGTGGACTATTGCATATATTTAGCTAAGTACTTTTCTATATATTAGGTGGAATAGTAAAGCCCTGATGTAGAAAGGACAATAGCTTACCCAAGTTGGTCGACCAATGGCTGAAGTTTCCTATAACATCGACAAGCTTTTAGTTCTGGCCTCTATTCCTGTTACATAGCACATGGCTAGTATATAGTATCTATACTTATAGTTGTATAATACTGGACAAAATTGAAGAAAACATTAATGAATACCACCAAGTGTATATCAAACATTCTTTTTAATTATTAGAAACGCTAAATTCGTGAAAATATTTTTCCACAATTTGTAATTAATTTGAATAACACTCACAATTTAGCTGTGACTAAATCTTTAAAAAAATAAAAGACAAAAAAATTTACATAGTTTATGGTTGCAATGCTACATCACATATTACAGGATATATAATATCAAAAATCTATAAAGTATCACACTAAAAAAAACGTATCTGTTATTCTCCATATATGATAAATCAACAAATAGTTACTCAGAATAGGAACGTGTGGAAATCTTTTGATATAAAACAAATCTCTACCACTACGCTTCTTAGAAAAGTAAAGCATAGGGTTCAAAAGATAAATGATTCTAAGGAAACCTAAAAATGAAATATTTACGTATATACCTATCTTTGTAGACTATAAACATTTTAAAGATGAAGTGAACACTACGTAATCTTTCAGAAGAAGGTTGTTTATTTTTTTTTAAATTGTATATTGGAACAACTAGAATAGTTTCAAAAATGGTTACAATGCTATACATTTTTCGAGTCTGAATTTAACCTGGAATTTTATGAATCGTGGCGAATAATAGCACTTATATGAACTTAAATCCTGAATGTAAAGTTATGAAATACTACGTACTCCAGGACAGGTCAGTCTAATCGTTATACCTAACTCTTAATTTCACAGAATTTCAGGAAATATGAAGGGGTTTCACCGATTTCTGTTTTCATATAACATCCCTAATTTTTTGTTTATTTCTCTTTAACCATTCTAGTTCAAGCTCTTATCAGTTTAATCTCGAGAGTGATGGTTTTGACTTAAAAGACCCATGTGAATCGAAAAAAAATGCAAGTAATGTTGGACATAGACGATATGCAAACCCATCAACAAACGATGAATGAAGGAAAATGAGTACTACATCAGTTGAACGGCAGACATATAGAAACGCGAAAAACGGTATGCGAAATTTTACTCGTGGCATAAAATAAAGACTTTTTTGCATTCGGATCATGACTGTAGGCGATAAATGGACTTATTTTGAGAACCCAAAACTTAGAATATGTTTTGGCTGACCCAATCAACAACATCGAGCGCAAGACCGAACCGCTGTGGATAGATGCCAATGTTGTGCATTGGGTAGAATCAGAAGGGTGCTATGGACTTCTGAAATCGGATGAAATTTTTGATATCGTTCGCTTACGTCCAGAAATAACCAATTTAACCATTCATTGATCGAAAAGCTACCAGAATGGGCAACAGGACACGAGAGAGCTGCTTTGTAGCACACAGGGGTACCCAGAAGGGCGTTTCGTGTTACAGAAGTTACGCAGTTTATTGGCATATTTTGACGAGTTTTTGAATTTTCGAGGGGGACAAATTTCGACCGGGTTATGAATTTTCGGACTAAGGGACGCGGGAGAAACATAGAACAGACCGCAGCAAGCTTAATTGTATATGGTCTACAATTTTTCTAAATCTACCTTAGCTGTTTTTAAGAAAATGTGAGCAATAAACTATCTTGGAAGGAGGGAAGGCAGTTAGGTAAGGGTGTCTCATTTACTCTCTACCTACATTCCGATTGGATTCTAGAAGGTGGTCGAAAATTACTACGGAATGGATTCCAAAACTACGGATTATTACATACGGAAACTATTTATAATAAAACCGAAAACTACGGAATGGATTCCAAGGAATTAAAAGAGTAATTAAAACTTCCACAATATGGAGAGATGAAATAGTGCAGACAGTGGGTGACGGCTGGGTGAACAGTGGCAAGAAATAGGGATAGTTGGAGCAAAATAATAAATACAAATTAAATTCAAAACTTTTATTAATTTTATTTTGTAAGTTGACGATGTTTTTATAAGTTTGAATGATTCCGAAGAAGAAATTTTTAAATTGTTTTATTTTTATTTTTTGTTAAAACCAGACTCTTATCTTCATAAAAGGAGAGGCTTTCTGTTCTATTAAGAACGTAAAATAAAGCTTATATTATTTTAATGTTTGCATAAATCGATAAATTTTAATATTATAATTATTGTTCCAATAAAGATAAGTGGTAGTGAATATAAACCGGACCCTCAGAGGAACCAAGGAAGGGGTATGTAAATACCATCTTGACGAGAGAAGGGCGAAGAGGGCCATAGCTCATAGCGGAAGGCACTGGGGAGGGCAGCTCACGCTCCGAGATAATCGGCAAGGACTCAATTACCGATACAGCCTTCCACAAAAGATGAATTAATTCCTTCCCCGGCAGAGGGTCCTTTGTCCTATTCCCAGCCATTGTTTCTTCACAGCTGGCCATCAAGTATCCAGTTGTACCAACCTCTGTCTCTCTGCTCAGTCTAACCGCTCCATTTCCTACAGCTTCTCGCATTGTATTCTCCCTCTATAGGTATCATAATTGGTGTCAATCCGTGTTAGAATGCCTAGTAACTTAGTTTTATTTCAGGGATATTTATCCTTCTTCTCTTTGGGACTGTATGTTGAATTTAGAATTCGAAATAACTGCTTAGAACTTCTAGGTAGTAATTTCTTCTAGTGGATTATAAATGAGGAAAATAAAGGGATGTACCTATAAATAAATATTATCGTGCTTTAAAATATAAATCTCCCTTGCTTGTCGGTGGATTTAATTAAGATGTAAATTACAAGATTGGTTCACACTGGAAAATTCGACTTAATCATGACAAATCCAACCATACCACATGTAATCTTCGAAAAAACACCTGCACTCTTGTTTATATTGACAACAATCAAATTCCTCAAACGGACTTTACCTTGGTCTCACCTTCGACAGAAGGATGATTTACTCTTTTTTTTTATTTTTTAAATCTTCAAAACTTATAAAATAAACTTACCTCGCGCGGGCTCATTACCGCGTATGGGGAGCGTCCCACGGGTGGCGGATGTGGGGATGGTCGGTGGAAATTTCTTGGAAGTTCCTCCCGGCTAAGTCCGATGGACTCGCTGACCAACAATGAGAGGGGCCCTCCAGACTTGCTGGAGGGAGGGGACCTCCAGACTTGCTGGAGGTAGGGGCCCACCAGACTTGCTGGAGGGTGTGACGTAGGATTGAACGCCCTACTCACATATCTTTAGTTCACCAAACACCACAAAAAGTCATGGATCTCCCTAAGGTAAAACGCTCAATATCCGGAGGTAAACTAGTCCCCCGTTCGGGTCTCCGGGTGGTGACTGCTTTAGGGGATTCATGGCGCAAGTTGAAATATAGGGATTTAAATATTGGTACGTGGAACGTAAGGAGTTTAAACACAGCAGGGGGGCTAAAATCGGTCGCGAATGAGGTAAATGGGTACAATTTGGATGTCGTGGCTCTGCAAGAGGTTCGCTGGCCAGGGGAGGGCTCGATGAGGGAAGGGAAATACACTATTTGGTACGGAGGAAGCGAGAATCATTGTTTAGGTACCGGGTTTCTAATTAGGCGTAGATTCCTATCCGCTTTGAGGGACGTACAATTCTTTAGTGATAGAATTTCGGTAGCTACATTTCAGGGACGTTGGTTTAAAATCGCATTAATAAACATACATTGTCCGACCGAAGACAGTGACGATGAAGTCAAAAGTGAATTTTACGATAAACTCGAATGGGTTTATGATAAACTACCACGAAACTACATGAAAATAATTGTAGGTGACGCGAACGCAAAGGTAGGAAGGGAAGAAGTTTATATTCCGACGATTGGTAAAGAAAGTTTGCACGAATATAGTAATGATAATGGGATCCGTCTGATAAACTTTGCCATCTCGAAAAACCTGATAATTAAAAGTACGACGTTTAAACATAAGGATATTCATAAATATACTTGGACATCACCGGATTCGCAAACACGAAATCAAATCGATCATGTCTTGATACAACACAGCTGGCAAAGCAGTATAATTAATGTACGGTCTTATCGCGGAGCAGAATGTGGGTCGGATCATGAATTAGTAATCGCGAAACTTCGACAAAAACTTAATATAAAAAAGAGAAAAGAAAACCGTTTCGATTTTGAGAATTTTAATTTGGAAAAATTAAAAAATCCATCAATTAGAAACCAATTCGAGCTAGATGTTAAGAATAGGTTTGAAGCTTTAGAGCTTCCTGACGAGGACCACGAGGATATTGACAAGTTATGGATAGAGATCAGAGATAATATTAAAGCGGTCGGTAACTCGTGTCTAGGAAAAAAGGAAAATAAGAATAACAAACCGTGGTTTGATGAAGATTGCTTAAACATGTGTGAAAAAAGAAAAGCCGCTAAATTAAAAGCTCTAAATAATCCTAGCGAAGACAATCTGGAATACTTCCGAATCTCAAAGAACGAAACGACAAAATTGCTCAAAAATAAAAAAAGGGAGTATCTTAAAAATAAAATAATTGAAATAGAAACTAATAGAATCGAAAATAACGTAAGAGACATGTACAAAGGTATAAACAGATCACGTAAATATGTAGGGCCCGTAACGTCTGGAATTAGGGATGATAATAACAATATTCTGACCGATCCGGTTGACATATTGAATAAGTTTAAGGACCACTTTGACAATATTTTAAATACGGGAAATTATGATCTGTGTCCTCCTTCTGAGTACCAGAGTGCTGAACCGTTAATAGAAGGACCAAGTAAAGAGGAAGTTGAAGTAGCTATCGGAAAATTAAAATCATATAAAGCAGCGGGAATCGATAATATTCCTACTGAACTAATTAAGGCATGCGGAGAAGCTGGAGTTTCTAAAATACATCGGTTGGTTAAAAAGATCTGGGTGAACGAGAAATTACCTGAAGAATGGAAAGAATCTATTCTTATTCCGATTCACAAAAAGGGTCCGAGGACGGATTGTAATAACTATCGAGGAATTTCACTCCTTCCGGTATGTTATAAAATATTCACTTTAATCTTAACCAGTCGAATCACGGAATACGCCGAGGAAATTATCGGAGACTACCAATGCGGATTTAGACGGAATCGTTCGACTATTGATCAAATATTTTCTTTACGGCAAATATTAGAGAAAAAATTGGAGTATAACGGTATTGTTCACCAGCTGTATATAGATTTTAAAAAGGCTTACGATTCTATTGACCGCCAGAAACTGTATAATATTCTAATCGAGCAGGGGATTCCAAAAAAACTAGTAAATCTAGTCAGGATGTGCTTGACGGAGACACTCAATAAAGTTAGAATCGGTAATAATTTGTCCGAAAAATTTGAGGTTCGTTCGGGCTTAAAACAGGGGGATTCTCTTTCGCCTGTCCTGTTCAATTTGGCATTAGAACATGCCATTAGGGAGGTAATGCGAACCGAGAAAGGGTTGGATCTGGGCGGGACAACATCCGTGCTGGGCTATGCTGATGATCTGGTACTGTTAAGCGAAGACGTTGAAACTATAAAACTAAATACGACAACGTTAATGAAAGCCGGGAAAGAACTAGGACTCGAAATAAACGTGGATAAAACAAAATATATGGTTAGCTGCAAAAATGGCGATACTACTGGTGATATCGATATAGATGGTAATATGTTTGAACAGGTAGATAAATTTAGGTATCTAGGTTCTACGATAACTAGAAAAAACGAAATTGAAGAAGAGATTAAGGTTAGACTGAAGGCGGGGAATGCTTGTTATTTTTCTGTGACAAAACTACTTAGTTCGCGCCTCTTGTCCCGAAACTTAAAAATTAGAATCTATAAAACAATTATCTTACCTACAGTTCTTTATGGATGCGAAACTTGGCCGCTTACATTAAGGGATGAGCAGCGTCTTAAGGTTTTTGAAAATAAGGTATTGCGTAGAATATTCGGACCGAAAAAGGATGAGTTAACCGGAGAGTTCAGACGGTTACACAACGCCGAATTGCGTGAGATGTATCCGGGTAATATAATTGATGTAATTTCATCGCGGCGAATCAAATGGGCTTGTAAAGTTGTTGGGCTTAGTAACGAGAGAATTCCTAAAAGGTTAATATTTGCTGTGCCGAATGGTAAGCGTCCGAGGGGTAGACCGAAGCGAAGATGGGAAGATTGCATTAAAGCCGATCTGAAGGGACTGGGTTTGGACGGCGAACGGTGGAGGGAGGTGTGTAACAGGCGATTGGTGGTGTCGGCATCGAACCTTCGGGTTCGCTAAGCCTTATTATTATTATTATTATTATTATTATCAAAACTTAAGCCCATATGGACATACTCATCACAGATATACGGAATCGCTAAAAAGAACCACATACAAAAACTTCAAACGTTCCAATCAAAATTATTGCTGCGACTCATAACAAAAGCACCTTGGTACGTGACAAAAAAAACTCTACATACTGACCTTCACTTACCAATACTTGACCAACATATAACGATCCCTTATCAACGATTTTACACAAAATTAAAATGGACATAATAACAGACCAACAAGAGACATGACCACAGCTGACATAGCTCAGAACATGAGGAGGAGACTAAAAAGGCTGAGAAAACAACCTAAGTAATTGCAACAAGTTAGGGAAGAGGTACTGCTGAGTACTTTCCTTCCCCATGCCTGTCATGTCATTATTTCATGTATCGCTTTCACATTTGCTGATTGTCAACAATAAGTTGACAGGCACAAATACATTTTTTACATTATAGACAAAAAAAAATTAAGATGAATAATTCTATGGGTCTTATTCTTGGAATGAAATCTATAACTACTAATTTATTTTATGAACACATTTTACTGTTTTATATATATGTTATGTATGTGTTTGTATGTATAAGGGACGGTCCAAACTCCACGAATAGGTAAAAAATAAACCATTAGAATATACATCATAAATAATATGAGTATGGTTATTTTTAAATTATGTTCTTAATAAAGTGAGACATTTTTTGGAATAAAAAATATTTGGGTAATGAAAACGCTTACCTGCATTGCATTCCTTGCACGCTAAATAAAGAGAAATATTTTAAAAATTTTAATATCTTCATAAAAATTTCTATTAAATAAAAATATTTTAATAATGTGCTAGTAATCTAGAGTATTTATTGTGACGTGCAGTTTCTTGTTGGTTACTGATTTATTTTAGGAAGTGAATGAAGTAGTTTTTTATTACATTATTTAATGACGTTATTTGTTTCTGGATTGTGTGAATTTTGTGGAGTGTTTTATATTTGTTTGTCTCTTAATTGAATAATTAATATTATCTATCAGTCTAAAGAAGGGTTTGGTAAGTTAATAAGCAAAAAAAGGCACGGATAAACTTAAAATATATTTCTTTACACATCCAATGAGAAATAACAACTTTTTTTTTAAATTGAATGTATCAATAGTAAAATGAAGAAACACGGTATTTAATCAATAATAATCCAGGATGATTACGGCAATGAAGCTGAAAGCATTCTCTAGGGAAGAACTAAACTCAACAAAATCAAAATTTGGTTGTAATCTGTCATTTATTCTCGTTAGTTAATTGTCTTCCTTGGAATTCTTCAAGTCTTTTGTAAAGCTTCACTCAACGTAAAAGCGATCATATAATTCTTCCTATATCGAAACCCATGCAAAAAACATTAAAATTTCTTTTGAAGTTTATGAAGTATGAATTCTAAATTTAAAAAAAAAGTTATATACTTAATTATAAAACAAAAGAACAGAGGAATATCAAGATAACAAAAAATTAAAAATTTAGAAATATAAAGCTTAACTAAACATGGTAAAAAAAAAAATTAAAAACAATTCTGACGATCTGATGGTAACTTAACCAACCGCATTAAAACAAATGGAAAACATTAAAAACTATAAAAATAATTTAAATTAAGCAAAATACTATTTCTGTGATTACAATATTGCTGTGATCTTTTATTTACAATAAAATATGTTTATGTTTTTCTATATTTTATATATTGATTTCCAGAAATTTTAACATGGTTGGAAAAATTACTCCATTCATAAATTAACATATACAAATCTGTTTTTTCATTTATCATTGTACCGTAAAATGCTTTATTTGTGTGCTGTTTTCCTAAATTTCTTCATAGCTTGTTATCTCAATATTCCTGTATTTTTTCTTTACATTATAGTATTTTGCTTAATTAATTTTAGTTATATTTCTAAATTTTAATTGCTTGTTATCTCGATATTCTCATTTTTGTTAATTTCTTAATAATATTCATTTGTTTTATAATCAAGTATATTCATTATTTAAATTTGTCTCGGTTTTTATAGAAATTTCTATTAGATTTAATACGTTTATATTCATTTTGCCATGTAAATATTTACTTATATGCTATATCCCCCTCTAAAGTACAAGATAACTAGTTTTCGGTGGTTGCAAGAATTTTTGAACATAACTTGTATAAAAAGCAGTTGAAAGAAGAAAAAGCGTATAAGTTGCCTCAGTACATTATAGTTGGTCTGTATTTTTAGTTGTGAGTAGTTGTAAATTAAACAAGTTATTACTCACCGTGTAGTCTCCAGATCCACTGAAGTCATCGGTGGGATAGCTGGACCCTCCGGAGAAGGGGGGTCCAGGAGGTCCCGGTGGTCCCGGGGGACCCGGTGGACCCCTGATAGCCTCTCCTGGTGGACCCTGCAACAAGAGGAGTCAGTCCCTGCTTTAGGGGTTGCTGAGTGGATTAGGAAAGGATGGAGAGGTAGCAGCAGAGGATTAAGGATTAATCATGGAAAAGCCTCAGAGGTACGTCCTAGAATTATTTTAAATCGGATATTAATTTATTTAAAACATTATTTTATGTTGTTTTATGATAAATAATTTTTAAAGAAATTGAAATTCCAGTACATTATACCCATGGTCTGAATTAACACCGAAAATCAGGAAATTTAGTTGAAGTCTGAGAGTCGATACGAAGATTACCGGCGCCTTGAGCGCCAGATATACCTTCTTTGTGAAATTCACCTTAAGCCCCACAGAGTCATAACAGGCGCATAGTGAGCACATCATCCTTTCCAGAAACACCTTTCTGCGTGGAAATATCTTCTAATCATCGGCGAAAAACAGAGAGACAAGGGTTCATCGTCGATTAATGGCCCCACATATTCCACATCGATGATACCATGTCAGACTAGCTTGAATAAATCTTAAAGAGATTCGGCGCCATACTAAATACTGCTTCATACCCTTAGTACCCGAAAAAGGCCCCGTTAGCTAACTTCTAAGCTACCCGGTGAATATAGTCTCGGTAGAGGTGTCTCATTGCTTCTATTAGGGATTCGTCGACGCCATCCTCTCTCAGTGCTGTCCACATTCTAGATTTTGGAGGCTGCCATACTCCTGTTCAAGGTCCACGAAAGCTATAAGGAGAGTTTATATTTTATATCATATTTATATTTTATATTCTATTCTATTTTATATTCATTGTTCAGAACGTCTCATGTTTTCTCTTATACTATTCATTGGAGGTATAGAATATTTTGAATTTTGGACTTTTTCGCCTCCCCAATAGATCTAAACAATATGGCAGAAATAGTTTTGGAGGACCTTTCTTTTTCGATTAAGATGATTCCGATTTACCTGGAAAGATCTCTATAGGATTAGTTGAATTTTTCACAGCTCTCCACATCTCACCTCTCACAGGTTTTCGTATTAACATTCAATTCAGCTGTTTTCAATGGTATCAGAAATCTAGACAATATATGAGTGGCCTCACATCAAAGACGGTCATGTGCCATTTTTAAAAAGTTGAGAAAAAGCCAATTTTCTATAATAAAACTTCAATTTAAACCAATTCTTTTGATATTTTTTTAATAATTCAATGGGGAAACCCCTAAATAAAATCATCAGAGCCTGTTTGAGTTGAACCTATGAAGAAAAAATTGATTTTTTTTCCACTTTCTGAAAATAATAGATGTTCGTTTTTGATATCAAGTCACTCATATATTCGTAATATTTATAAAACATTAATAAATCGCTATCCTATATATTATTTCTAAAAGGTGTTTTTTTGTCGCCATTACTTAGTCAATTTTTCATCAAATCCAATGATTGACCACTCATTTTGAAGGTATTCTTCTCCTTCACATGCGAAAAGTAGTCCTATTCTCCCGAAATTTTTGGAAAGAAAGTTATGAAGGAAACAAAAGTTTATTTGCAAAAAGTATGCATCTTTTTCTAGATTGTATCCATGATAATTAGACAGATAACTAAATTATCTACAAAACAAAAAAAAAATCGTAAAAATCGGACAATTATTAACTAGGATAGAGTCCATTGCTTTTAGTATACTTAATAATGTCTTCCTCTTTATAGATATCGTATTTAGGATTAAAATAGTCTACCATACTTTATTTCCATCTTTATATTTGTCTTTATATACTTTATTTAAAATATTTTCAAATATACATATCAGAAAATCTAAATTATACTGGGCAGCAAGATGTCCGATGGCCAAATGACCAACGACTGGCATAAGAAAAAAAAAAAAACTTTATTTCCTGGCTGATGTATTAACTTTATTATTTCTTAAAGACATTAGGTTGTTCTTACATTTTATTTTTTTTTTAATAATTTAGAAAATCCCATGATTGGGACATTATTTTGTCTTTATTACTTTTATTATCATTCCAGTCAGCGTTTAAAAATAGGTCTTAGAAAAACAATTTTTACAAATATTTTTGTCTATTATGTTTAATGGAATATTGTCATCGCCCGAGGAAGAAATATTAATTCCTTCCTTACATAATATATAGGATCTCCTTATTTCCATATTGTTTTGCTATTTCTTCACTAACTCGAATTTTCTGCGAATTATTCGCACGGGCCAACTAGTATTTATTTATTTTATATTGAAATATAACTATATACTTGGCCGTTTTTAGGACTAAGAAAAGGATTGGTATCTAAAGGAAAATAGGATGAAAATTTGGAAACATTTTTGGATAAAAAATTTGCTACTTACCCTGGGACCTCTTTCTCCTTTTTCTCCTTTGAGGGTCCTTCCATATGATCCCACTTCTGTAATTCCAGGACGATTAAAAATAATTTTAAAATGTGAACACGATAATTGTATTGAAAGGGTTAGAGCCCATTTCTTCTGTTTTTAATTAATAATTTAAATTCAAGTACTTATTATTTTATTATAGTACTTATTTAATAGATACGATCAATTTATCTTAAAACATATTGCAGATAAATGTTAATTGTAAATTATTTGAACTGACATATTTAAAAAAAAAAATCTCACATTTGCATAGAAGGCACCATTAATTCACACGTAATGATTAAAATTGCGTACATGTTAATAATTTTTTTATGAAAAATTAATCTATTTAACGTTTAAACCTATACACTGAATTGAAATAAATGTTATTTTACAAAAAATAACCCCTAATTAGGAGATAATCGATATTCCATTAATTTCAAAAAGACCTGGTTTATCTACCAATACGCGTTATTCATTAATGGATGAATTTCCTTTGGACGAAAACAAGTTTCTTTAGACCAAGCTATTAATATTTTTTTTTAGAAAAATAATTATCTATAAAATGCTCTAAATGAAAATTCCTAGCGCACTTTATTATTTAGAAAATGATAATGTTTCGCATTTTCCTTTAATATTTCCCGGTATTCCAGGAATTATTTTTTCCATTTAAAATATTAAGGACTTATTCCACTTTTCCTTTCTTGGAATATGAAAAAGAAATGAGGGAAAGCGCACTTAATTATGGTTTACGAGAAAAACGTTATTATTTTGTTAATTAAAATGGGTTATAACAATAAATTCATTTAAATCTAATTTTCAATTTTTAATTTCTTTTCTCCGATAGTACATACTCGAAAAAATATTTTTTTCTTGGTGTCATTATTTGGCGCCTTCGTGCAAATATCTAATGCTTAAATTATATAATAATGTCTAGTTATAAAGAATATTGTTTATATTTGTGTGTCAAGACTTCTCCAGACAGACGAGATACTTACACTATTTACATAGCAACAGGTGAAACTACACTATGAACTTTGTTACTGATTTAAAATAACTTCAATAGATCACTTATTATAGTGTGATCTGATATGAATTAAATATTTGTCGCTTTTCTGATTTATATTTTATTAATGTTGGGAAACATAACTTTTCGATAAAACATAATTTAAAAAAATTAAATCGACAAGAGATAAATATTTTGATTTACATTATATATTAATATTTTTTTTTTACGTGTGCGAAACACGCACTGCCAGGCAACTGAACACATGATAAACCGAACTTTATACAAGCCTTTCAGTGGAAAGAATGACTAACTCCAATTTCAACATTCTTAGTAATGTCATTTTAGCGTTATTTATAGTTGGAAAATTTATAATATCTGTACAGGCAATCAATAAGTTAAATCCAGAGTAGTTGATTCCCAAATATCACTCAAACTAATAACCAAAATGTTGAAATTAAAGTGAGTCATTCTGTCAACTGAAAGGCTCATATGATAAAACAATTACTATATAAAATAATTGAGTTCGCGTTCCGGTACCGTGGGGGCTTTTAGCTTTTGCATTAATCCCCGCCCTATACTCTGGTACGAGAAAAATCCTTATAGCCTGAAATGCGAGGAAGGAGTGGCAAAAAAATCTTTATTAGGATTTTAATAATAAAATAAGGTATATTATTATTAAATGGGAATGTCAAGAGCTGAAGAAATAATTTTCAACATTGGTTCGCTAAAAAAAAAAATGTATTTCTCTATTCCAGGATATCTATGGATAGTTTTCGTAATATTTTAGTGGTGATTAGAAATAACTTTAACTGTTTAAAATTAATTAAATTCGAATTCAGTATTATATTTAGTATTGTATGTAGAATGTTTCGTCAAACAACTATATTTTCTGTTCTAGGAGAAATTTTCTTAATATGTAAGGCTACTGTCTGGAAGAGCCTTACAAATATTTTATAATTTTATATTAAAAAAACTACTGAAGTAAATAAATAATATATGTAATGCAGGATTACAGCTATTATTTTGAAATATTAATAAAACATTTTAGATATATAAAGTACATTTCATATTTTATTTTTTCATAAATTGGAACTAATAAATTATCAAGTGTTATCAATATATATTAATCAAAATGAGGGCTTATTACTTTATATTTTGATTGAATCGAGAAAAACAATGATAATATACTGATTATACTTTTCCAAATGCTTCATTTAAATAAGCAAATATATAATATTATCTATAATGTTATGAATATATACATTAAGGCACAATTATCAAATTATATATAATCTTTAGGTTTTTAAATTATTTTTTTTACTTTACATGACCCATTGCGAAACCAACCCATAGGATATCGTACTTTTGCTTTTGTTTATATTGCAGGAAAACTGCTCAGTATATAACGGAGAATCTTTTTTTTTTTTTTTTTTTTTTACAAATGTTGTTATCAATTCGAAATATTTGTTGCGATTTACACCAGTGCTAAGTGATTTTTTTTATTTCTAGCACCCAACCATTCGAATTTTTAAAAAAAATAAATAAATATTCTTGTAGAGCCCTCCGGTGAGTGGATAACAAAAGGTCTTTGTAGGACAAGGAAATCCGGTGTCAACGCCGGCTTAGATCTGGGATCAAGAAGGCCTTCTATGTTTCCTTTTCCCACAATGTTAAAGAAAAACAAATATAAAATAGACTAAAATATGACTGTAATGTTTTCTTCTGCATCATAACTTCCCCTGTACAGCAGAAGCTCTTTTATCCATGTTCGGACTAACCGATCTTTTGGATTTAACCAGTCAGCCAATCTTGTCTCAGTAGCAGTTTATTATTTATTTATTTTTTTAAGAAAGTATGTTTCCTTCCGTTTTTATTTTCACATTTCTTTATTAATTATTAAATAATTAATGGGAAGTATCATGATCAGGGAAAATTTCTTATTGGAGTTTTCAATGGGAACAAATGTTTCAAGATCCACTGAGTCTAAATATCCAAGGTTACAAAACCGTGTTTGTGTATGTGTGTTTTGAATTTTATGTTCCTTCTTCATGTTTTTCTCATCATTTTATTGTATCAAGGATAAATATGATAATTGTGGGTTTGACTGTAGTAAATAATTGAAGAGAAGGACAACAAGTAAAGTCAGAAACTTTTTTGGTTTGGCTTTACTTCTTGCACAGCAGCCCTGATGAAGGCCTGGACTTCGGGCCGAAACGTCGGCAAATGTAAAAATAAATAAAATTATTTATTTTTCAATTGATTGAACACCCCAACCATCCTTCTCTTCGGTAAATATGATACTTTAAAATTTCTAATTTTT